GGGTGGGGGTGGTGGGCGGCCACGCAGCTTGCCACCCAGGTTCGGACCGCTGAGGTTCCGGCCGAGCGGATGCGCGCGCAAAGCTCCGGGCAGGCCTGCCCCGGCCCGCAAACGGGTTCACGCACGCTCTCAGCGCCAGCCCGGCCGCCCAACCGCCCCTCGGCCCGCGGCGCACGCCCCCGGGCGGCCGCACCATTTGTTCACGCGCCGCCCGTCCTCCGTCTGCGTCCGCTCGTTCCTGCGCGCGGGGTAGTGGAGCGCGGCCCCATAATCAGGCGGCGGCAGGGCTGCCGGCCCTCAGCGGCCGTCACGCCGGCGCCGCCACAAGGGCAAAGCCGGCGCCCCACCCACCTGCAATCTCGCGAGCTCTCGTCCTGGCTGGATCGTACCCGATCACCACAGATCAGACCAGATCAGACCAGATCAGACCAGATCAGATCAGGACAGATCATCATAGACACAACCACACAAGGCTTCACCTGTGCTCAACAAAGTAGACCTTTGCGTGCGCGTCGCTGTCTGTGGCCTCGACGACCGCCCCCTCGTTGCCGCCCGTCTCCACTATGATGCTTTCCAGCCTGGTGTGAAAATCGAACGAGGGGGTTGGGACGGCGGCGGGGAGCGCGCAAGATGCGACGCAGCAGGCGCGCCGCCGTGCACATTGGGAGCTCGGTAAGGCACTTCACAAAACAGCCAGGGCGGCAAAACAGACGGGGGGAGGCGGCGCGCCGCCCGGCCTTGGCGAACCGCCGCGCCAGCTGCTCGCTTCACGCCCGCCGCCGCCGTCCCTGCGTCTCGCCGCCCCTGGCGTCCCCTCACCACTGCAGCACCCGCTGCCTGTTGTGGCAGCTGGCGGGGATGGCCCCGAACTTGTTGAAGGGCCGGCTGCTGCTGTAGTTGTAGTGGGCGTCCCCGGTGTCCTCCCCTGTGGCCGCGAGGTGGCGGCTGCCGCTCGCGTCCACCAAATAGAACTTGTGAAACTTTTTTGAGCCGTGGGCCTCCTTGGCCTGCGGCGAGGCGGGGGGTGTGCGGGTCTGGCGGCGGCGCCGGGATGGCGGTCGTGGTGCACCGGCAGCAGCTGCAGTGGCTCACGGCCAGGGCCACGCTCGGGCCGGCTGGCTGCAGGCTGCAATGAATGCTTCGACTTGTGAGATCGGATTTCAACGCCTTTCCAGCGGCTCTAGGTGGCACACCTCCTCGTATCGCGTGAATACAAGTCCATCGATGCCCAGTTCATGCTCCATGGCACACCCTTGCAGCCACACTGCTATCAATAACAACCTAAATGCATCCTTGAATTAGATAAAATTGATGTCACTGCTGCATACAGTGCTGTTCTGTTGTTGTTAGATCGCACTGGGCTCCAGCTGGGCTCCAAGCTGCATGCTATACCGTATCAAGCGGCGAGCTGGCTGATGATCAAACCAGGACGCTGAATTGCTGTCGTCGTTGAGGCCTGACGCTGCTGTTGACCTGCAATATCATGACACACTTGTCACCCGGGCAACACTCCTTACTGCCTACCCGCTACCCGTGCCCGGACCTGACATGGGACAGGAACACTGCGACCCAGGTGAAGCCTTTCAGAGGTACCAGGGCCAACTGAAACGACGCGAGCTGCGCGGCCTGCAGTAAGCTGGTGGCAACCGTATCCGCAGTTCAGATGGCAGACAGCTGGCCGAACAAGTGGAGCAGCACTGTCCTCCCTCAATTTCCCTTCAACCCATCCACCCATGGTCAACGCGTGCACAAAGGATGCTCGTCATCCTCACAACGCCGTTCAAATCGTAGGCGCATGTAGCGCCTGCTTCCAGCCATGCCGTGCAGCAGCTGGGCTTGCAGATTACTTCACTTCTGCCGCTTGCGTGCCAGATACCGCTCCCGCGCCGCCAACACCGCCGACTGGTCGTTACGCCGCTTGCCACCCACAACCTGCTGCTGCTGCTGTTCTTGCTGCTGCCGCTGCTCCTCCTGCTCCTGCTGCGGCTGCTCCTGCTGCTCCTCCGCCTCATCCCGCCGCTCCCTCCTGTCGCCCCTGCTGCTGGGCTGCTCCCCCTCTGCCCCACC